GCACACACACACAACACACACACACACACACACACACACACAAAGCACACGCACACGCACACGCGCGAGCGAACAAACAAACCAAGGAATTATCCCGTTCAAAATACCAACGGTGGCGAAGTTTTCTCCCTGAGCACAGGGAAGAATGGAAGAATGGGATGGCGCGGTGCTGCAGAAATGCACGCCTCCGCAGCGGTAGCTGCAGCTCAGTGCCAGGTCCGTGGGATGCTGTGGGTCCCAACCCGCCCAAGGTGTGAGCTCGGAGCCCGCAACCCGCGCAGCTCCAAAACCAATGGCGAAAACCGATACCTGCACCAGCATCCGCAGCCAGCAGCACCGCAATAAGCTTTCAGAAGCTTGTCCCTCAGCAGATGCGCACGCAAGCCCGCGGGAACCACTGCGCCTGCGCAGAAGCTATGAACTACGATTCCCGGGGTCCGTTGGCCTGGATTTCAAGAAACTCCTGTGCTTTCCATAGGCTCTTATCTGGCCTGTTGCGCATGATCACTGAGAAGCGGCTGGGGGCTCGAGTGTTAAATTATTGCTGCGCCAGAGGCTTAGAGGCCTAGCATCCGCTTAGGTTTTCAGATCTATGCGGTAGTGTATCCACGGTAACTTTAAATCTTCCTCAGCTTCTCTCATCACCACCTTTCACTAAAATTGAAAGTGAAAAACCCACCGAGGAAGCATTAGCGATGCATTCAATGCAAAACAGAAGTAACGCTGTAAATAAGTTACACAAATGTCTTCTGACTTCCACACCTGCCACCATCATCCAAGGCAAAGCACTAAATCTGCTTTGCCTGCACTGTTGCAATAGCTTTTTGATTTTTCCCTTTATCCCCTATCCCCCATCACTTACACCATGCCTAGGCAGATTATGTCCCTCCTTAGAAGGACTGCTCAAAACTCTGCTATCTTAGTTACTTTTCCCTCTGACTGTGATAAAATACCCTTACAAAAGCAACTAAGGAGGAATGGAGCTTATTTCAGCTCACAGTTCAAGGTATGGTCCTTATGGCCACGAAGTCAAGGCAGCAGGAGCTTGAAGCAGCTGCTCATATTGCATCGACAGCCAGGAAGCAGAGAACGGTGGACACATGCTGCTGCTCAGGTCCCTTTCTGTGTTTAAATTTATACAATCTAGGATCCCCTGCCAGGGAATGGTGCCATCCACAGCAGGCAAGTCTTCTCATCTCAGTTGAAGCAGTTATTAAGGCAATTAAGATAACCCCCCACAGGCATGCCCGAAGCTGGTCTTCCAAGTAATTCTATGGGTGGTTTAACTGATAATGGAAGACAGAAGATCTGTGGAATAATAGTATCAAGAGATGATAGTGGTGCTAGGATTTGGAGATGTACATCAGCTATATATGGGCACAAACAAGATAACACACAAGTGTGGCAGATCATATTTAGTAAAGATGACCACACCAATGCCTATCTGTATACTTAACAAGTTCTTCCTACAAGTGCAATGTCCATGTAGCTCCTTTGAGAGAAGTTTCTAGTTTTTTGAAACTAGAGTGATGTTTCTTAGCCCAAAGAGTCCAGAAATGAGCAGAGGGTGCAGTTCAATGGCACTTCAGTTGCAAAGGATTGTGAAGTGTGGTTTGGGTTTGCTTAGGTGTGTGTGTGTGTAAGTTTAAAAACAGGATTCATCCATATAGCCCAAGTTTTTTTTTTTTAATGTATAACAAAGTGAAGTCATTGTTCTTGTCTCTATAGCCTGAGATTTAAATTCTAATTAGAATTAGATGACATTTACTCTTTATAGATGGCTTCTTTCATTCAATATTGAATCTATGAGATTTGTCAAAATTGTTGCATATGGTTATAAGTTAGTAGTTTTCATTGCTGCACAGCATTCCTCTGTGACTTGTTATTTACATTAGTTTCCTATTTACACAGCTCTCAGCATCTGATCCACTATGTGGGTGGGAAAAGAAGTTCATACATGTGCATATGTGTCTATAAAGAGCTGGCTAGCTTTTCTGATTCCCTTCTAGAACAGCAGTTCTCAACCTGGGGGTGGGATAACCCTTTCACAGGGGTCGCCTAAGACTACCAGAAAACAGATATTTATTTACATTATGATTAATAACAGTAGCAGAATTACAGTTATAAAGCGGCATTGAAAATAATTTTATAGTTGGGGGTCACCACAGCATGAGGAACAGTATTAAGGATCACAGCATTAGGAAGGTGGAAGACTATTGTTCTAGAATAGACCTGAGACTGAAATGCCAAGGGCCTGTCTACCCCTCTCACCTATTTTACAGAAAAGAAGACACAGTGCAGAGAAGAGGCATGCCCAAGGTCACTTAGATAGCAAGCAAATTGGCAGGCAATCAGAAATAAGTAGAAGCCTTTTGAGGAGAGGAAGCACACCCTCCCCCATCTTTAGAAGGAAAAAGACAAGATAGGCTAAGTCAATAATCTAGGTCAGCTGGGTTTTGTCTGTCTGCTTGCTTTTTTTTTCTTAAAAAAGATTGGTTTTTATTTTATATGTATGAATATTTTGCCCATATGTATGTCTGTGCACCACATAGATACTTGGTGCCTTGAAGGAAGGCCAGAAAAGGGTGTCTGATCTCCTGGGGCCAGAGTTACAGATGGTTGTGAGCTGATATGTAGGTACCAGGAACTGAACCCCGATCCTCTGCAAGAACAACCAGTACTCTTAACAACTGAGTCATCTCCCCAGCCTCTGCTGCTTGCTTTAGTATTCCATACTGACTTATAATTTGTTAGATAGCCAACGATGATCTTGAACTTCTGATCCTCCTGCCTCCACTTCCTGAGTGCTAAGATTACAGGAATGTGCCACCACACTGGTTTTATGGGATTCTGGAGCTTGAAACCAGAGCTTTATGCATGCTAAGCAAGCACAATACCAACTGAGCTACAGCCCCAGCCTCAAAGCAGTTGTTTTAAAACTTATTAATATTAGTTGAGCACAGTGATATATCTGTGATTCAGCACTCAAGTTAAGGGTGAAGAATCACAAGTTGGAAGCCAGCTTGGAAAACAGTGGGACTTTATCTCAAAACAAAGCAAAACTTCAGCTGTTGCTATTGTTTGTCCCAAATACTGTCTAATAAAGTAGATGAGAGGCATGTTTCAGAATGAAGCCTTGACATGGCCTAGCTTAGGCAACCGTTTAGGCATTTCCTTAGGACCCTGAGGGTACATAGGTATCTAGTATGTGGGCCCCTGAGCTTGGGAGGTGTGAGTCGCCTTCAATCACACCAAGGCCTCACTCCCCTGGCTTTGTTGGCTGGTACTCCAAGGATTTTAGTTCCAGCAGGAGGCCATGGTTGCCTCTGTAGGAGAAATGGGGAAACCTTTCCTGCCTGACTTTCCTTAAAGGGTGACAGTTCTGTAAAGAAAGGAAAGAGATGGCAAACAAGCCACATGTAAAGAGTGATAAGTGGCCCCTGGAGAGAGGAGACGGAGATGCAGAGCAAGAGGCATCTTACACATAGTGAAGATTCCAAAGGGAGTACAGATGGAGTGATCAGCTCTAGGCAGGCAGAAGCAATGCTCAGACTTCCTCAGAACAGATGGAAGAGAGGCAAGGGAGTACATGCCTGAGGGTGTCTGAGGGATTCCCCACTGTGATCACACAGCAGAAGGGAGGTGGGAAATGGGGCTTGTTAGGAGATTGGTCTGAGATAGCTGCTGGGAAGATGACTGCTAACTAGAAATACATATATTTTTCTCACAGCACTAAGGGACCATTTGAAACTAGAAATCACCCATTCATGTCCCATGAATGATTTTTCTCAAGATACATAAAATAATCCCATAGTACTACAGAGCAGAAGGGTAGTGGGATGGGATTTTGTAGGTGAATTTGATTGGAGGACAGGAGGACAAACATTTGAGTATATTTGTATGGAATGAAGAAGGACCCAGTTTAGATGAGGAAGAGGAAAGGGTAACTGATAAAAAAAAAAAAAAGGAAGGGAAGAGGGCAAATGGGAAAGGGAATAAAATCTTAATAGTCAAAGGATTATTCATTACTATGCAACCCAGTGGCTTCACTCCTAGGTATTTACTCAGGAGAAATGGAAGCATCTAGCTGTGAAAAGATCATATGGAAGAGTATGCTTTGCTAATGGTTGCTAAAGGTGGAAGACAATTCAAATGCTAACACCAGTGTACAGCCTTTCTTTTTCAAAGTTAGCTGATTGATTGATTGATTGATTGATTGATTGATTGATTGATTGATTCATTGTAGCCATGTGCCATGGTGCATTTGATCAGAGGGCAACTCAAGAGAGTCAGTGCTCTCCTTCAACCATGTCAGTTCCAGTGATGGAGCTTAGGTTCATATTGGTGGCAAGCCATCTCACCAGCCTCCATGTTTGACTTTTCATCACTGACAAAATACCAGCAAACAAACAAACAAAACAAAACAAAACAAACAAAAACAAAAAAAGCACTTAAGGGAGGAAGGATTTATTTTTGGTCATTGTTTCAGATGTTTTAGGCCATGGTCAACTGACTCTGTTGCTTTAGGTCAACTAGTCCCTATCTTCCAATAATGTCACTTAATCTATTGATAAGATCAGAGTCCTCAGGATCCAAACACTTCCCAAGAGTGCCACCCAGTGGGGACTAAGCCTTTAACATACAAGCCTTTGGAGGACACTTCACTCCCAAACCTAAACTGGTGAGCAGATAAACTCTCATATTCACATGTGAAAATGAATACAAACTACTGATAAGTGCAAATATGACCATACCCCAAAGGCAGCATAAAGGAGACAGAAGCCAGACACAAAAAGGTACACCCAATATGATTCCATTTGTAAAAAGACAGATGTGGAGGCAGAAATCAGAGTGTGGTTGGCAGGGACTAGGTGGGGCAAGAAATGCTACAGTGATGGTCCTCGTATAATAGAGCACTGTTATAGCTTGGCTATGGTAGTGGATGTGTAGTGATTATAGGCTGCCTGCATGCATTGTCAAATAGAAACATACACTTTAGATATATGGATTTTGTTTTAGGTGAGCTCTGGCTCAATAAAGACGAAAACACATTGCTATGGTTTGGTTGTGGTCTGTACCCCAAAGGTTCTCTGACTACAAACTTGGTCCTTAGTGTGGTGGTATCGAAGTGGTGAGACATTTGTGAGGTGGCTCCCAGAGCTATTCAAGTTAAACATGGAATAGTGGATACCACCCTCAGGAAGCGTTAATGCTTGTCTGTGGAGTGCTTGAGGTCCCAAAAGAGTGGATTGTTATCATAAGACCAAATATGCACCCATGGTAACTTGGTGGATCAGAGGTTAAACAGAGGTGCATGCCTGATTTTGGAATTCCTACTTTATCTGATAATGTTTCCCAGAATGCAGTCCTCCCCAGTGTGAACAATTAACCTCGCACATCCCATTC